TTCCAAGATTTGGCGTATTGTGAATACCTGATCCATGGTGCATTTTCCAGGCCTAAAGCCACACTGATAAGGTCCAATCAGCTCGTTGACGGTGAGCTTCAGTCTTTCGCACAATACACTCGATAAGACCTTATAACCTATGCTTAGAAGGCTGATTCTGCGGTAGTTGGCGCGTATGGCGGGGTCGCCTTTCTTGTGGATTGAGCAAAGCACACTTAAATTCCAGTCGTCGGGAATGCATTAATCTGACCATATTCTGCATATGAGATGATGCATGCACCTCATCAGCTCCTCGCCGCCGAACTTGAATAGCTCGGCTGGCAGGCCGTCAGCTCCAGCAGATTTGCTGTTTTTCAGCCGCGTAATCGCTATTCGTACCTCGTCATAGTCAGGCGATGGGACAGCTACTCCATCATCATCGGCTGCGGACTCGGGTTAGTCTTCTTCACTACTTTCAGCGCAGCAGTAGGTTATAAAAGTGTTCCCTCCGCAATTTAAGTATATCTGGACATCGGTCACTACGTCGCCATTGTTCTTCTTACAGGGCGTTCTTCCTGTCGGCCAGCATCTCAAGCTCTTCGCACTCACGTATTTCGGCCTCTCTCTTCTTATTGCGGCAAATACGTCTCGCTTCCTTCTTCAGTTCCCTATAACGGTCCCACATGGCTCGCGTTGCGCCCGATCGCAGCGTGGCCCTGTAGGCGGCATCTTTTTTCTCTGCGGCTTCTTGACATTCCTCATCGTACCAGTTGTTCTTTCGGGCTCGCTGAAATCCAACTACTTCTTCGGCGGCGGTACTTAATGATCGGTAAATGTGGTTCCACTGCTCCCGTATGTCGGATTGTTGAAGAGTGCTCTCAGAGAGCAGGTGTATGAGTCAAGTGGCGAATAAATTGGCCGTCTGTTGTGATTGCAGCTTTCCTTGCATTGTTGGGCGCAAATTTTTTTCTGCACAGAGGTGGGTGCGTATCTTGGCTACAACAAGATAGTGGTCCGAGTCGATGTTTGGCCCTCGGAGTGTACGTACGTCTAAAACGCTTGAAGTATGCCTTCCGTCTGACACAACATGATCGATTTGGTTTCTCGTTTTTCGATCTGGAGACAGCCATGTAGCTTAGACTGCATCACTCTCCACAAAAAAAATGGTACTGTTTTGCCATTGGAATTAAAAAATCTATTATATTTTAAGACTTTTAACATTTCAATAATACGTCAAAAATATAAAGATTTACGCGATTTAAAAATACATACTTCCAAAAATTTAGTTTATTATGTTTTTGACGTAGAATACGTCTTACCTTAAGGTATGGGGGCTATGTTCAAATGTTGTAGTTGTAATTTTTAGAGCTTCACAAAAACGCTTATTGCACGAGAACTAATAAAGCGATTTCAAAGAAAAGTGTGGCGTTTCAAAGATAAAATTCCAAACCTGTCGACAGATTCATTTTTGTAAATAACCAATTCGGTTTCTGTCGTAAAAACAACGGTAAACATTGCCTTATTTTGGGGTCAATTTTGAGCCTTTAAAGTGCTCTAGCAACTTATTGTTGGCATATATAACTTTCATTTTCGGGATATAGGTTCTTTGGAGCAGTAGAAATATTATCGGGTACAAATTTTATATAAATTTAACAAATATTGAGCATTTTAAGGCAAAAAATTGTTGAAAAAATTTGCAAATTTTTTTCATTACCAAAATGCTCGAAAACCGCTCGAATGATTTTGTTTTTGTTTTCTTTAATCAAAAATTCAAGAGTTTTCCTTTCGTTTGGTATATGGGAAGTATTGGTTGATATCTTCTATATATGTTTATTTTATTCAAATATATGGGCATAAATGATTTTCCATACAAAATCACCTCGTCATCATTTTGCAAACACGTGCATATGTTGGAAGTGTGGGAAGGAGACAAAAAGTATGTATGCGTATGTAATGCGGCTTTTGATAAACAGAGGCGCGCTATTTATAACCTAATCGCAGCGTGTGTACATATGTAAATACATACATACGTACATATGTTGATTGCAGTTAATGTGGATCTGTTTCTATTTTTAGTAATCTATGTATGTCTATACATACATATGTACATACATATTATATATGTACATACATATATGAACACATGTATGCATAATACGCGAAGACTTTTCGAAGTGAAACAACATTTAGAAAAAGTCCAATCCAAGAATAAAAGTAAAGGTGAGGACGTACATAGATAAAGAAAAGGATAAAGGCCAAGGTAAAAATAAACACAAAAACAAAGTTGAGTAAAGATAAAGGCAAACATGAAGACCAAGGTAAATTTAAACACTTTACTTATATGTATAAGTGCAAAGGTGAAGGGGAATATGTATATGAAGAATATGATAAACATAAAAATAAAAACAAAGATAAATATAAAGAAAAAGATGCGGATGAGGATACCGATAAAAGTATAGATGAAGATAGAGGAAGAAAGATTAAAATAAAGGTAGTTGTAGAGAAAAGGATATAGATAAAGGCACAGAGACTCAATCTCGGAACTATTTCGGGATTTTAGGGATTCTCGGGACTTATCGATATAATCGATATTTTGTTGGTTTTTTTATCGATTTTGTTATCGAAATTTTTATCGATATTGTTATTGATTTTGCTATCGATATTTTTGGAACTTATCGATATAATGATCGATATTTTTATCGATTTTGTTATCTCTTTATTATCGATTTTGTTATCGATTTTATTATCGATTTTGTTATCGATATTTTTATCGATTTTGTTATCGATATTTTTATTGGTTTTGTTATCGATATTTTTATCGATTTTGTTATCGATTTTGCTAACGATTTTGTTATCGATATTTTTATAGATTTTGTTATCGATATTTTCAGAACTTATCGATATAATGATCGATTTTGTTATTTATTTTGCTATCGATATTTTCACTTATCGATATAATGATCGATATTTTTATCGATTTTGTTATCGACATTTTAATCGATTTTGTCATCGGTTTTGTTATCGATATTTTTATCGATTTTGTTATCGATACTTTCGGAACTTATCGATATAATGATCGATTTTGTTATTTATTTTTCTATCGATATTTTCCGTTTCTTATCGATATAATGATCGATATTTTTATCGATTTTGTTATCGACACTTTAATCGATTTTGTTATCGATTTTATTATAGATTATTTATCGATTTGGTTATCGATATTTTTATCGGTTTTGTTATCGATATTGTTATCGTTTTGCTATCGATATTATAATCGACTTTGTTACCGATATTTTTATCGATTTTGTTGTCGATATTTTTATCGATATTTTTATCGGTTTTGTTACCAATATTTTTATCGATTTTTCTATTGATATTGTTATCAATAACCATACGACGTATTCTACGTTTAAATATAGCGGCTGTATCTCCGATACAGCCTGCAGACCAAGACGAAGGCGCTGGACTGTTCCTTTTTAGTTTCTCCAAAGATTTGTTTAAGAAAAACTTGAATAATAACCTAGCCAAAGCTTTAACGATTTAGACTTATGATCTATCACGGGAAAGGCATTTTGTCAACCTTTTTGCAAATGAACTCATTCAAAGTATGAAAGAGAAAGGCAAGATAAACAAACGATTTCCTTTTTGGTTGTTGTTGTTTCCGACAGGATGGGTGTATGATGTATTATGGAACGAGTTTCCGTCATCCCTTGTCAAATTTGGTTGTTGTGGTGCAACACAAAAATGCAGCATTTAGGCAACTAATAACGAGGCTTGAAAGGACCCCTCTAACAGAAGAAGGCTACAAGAAGGAACTGGTTACAATATATGCCATTGCGGAAAATAACGGATATAGGAGAGGCCTGGTGGAGAAGTTAAGAAAGACACAAAATCGAAAAAGACTAGCAAAGAGGAAAAAATTGGGCAGTTCTAACTTACACAGGAAAGACATCTTACAAACTTGCCAAATTCTTTCATAAGTACGACATTCAGACATCATTTAAAACGAGGAACACAGTGGGAAATATATTGAAAGAGAAAATAAGCGGGGAAGACCCTGCACACCAATGAAGATTGGACAAACAACAGAATTTCTCCATGTACAACATAAAGGACAAAGATTGAATATATTGGAAAATATGGAAATATATAAACAGAAGACCTTCAAAGGACAAATAATAAATGAGCAAATAAATACTGTATCGGACGTACTGTTTGAACCTCTAAAACTACTGTACAAGAAGAAGAATGACAACAACAAAATATTAAGGACAGATATGGAAGGGAATACACCAACTGCAACAACAAAGGGGGTAAAAATCACGGACTTCTACCTGCCGTCAAAAACGAGCCAAAACAATTAATCTACCNAACAAACGACCGTCGCGACATGTCGTTCAAAGTTGAACTAAGATGTGTTGATATTAAAACAAAAAAATAAAAAAAGGACGTGAATGATATTTTTTAATTAATTAAGTTTTGTAGAAAACTTATTCCTAAAATACACACAGAATAACGCTAAGACCTCCTCGTTAGCTGATATTTCAATTAATCTCTTAAAAGACTGAAACGAGCTTTCACGAAAAACTCTGGTGAGTTGAATGACAGTTGACAAAATTGCTCCGTTAGATTATAAACAGTAAGGATGTGGATAAGTATGAAGGCACATAAGTATGTAAGTATATAAAAAAGTATCTATGTACATATGTATATATGCACAGTTGCACTTGCGCTTTTAAAACACTTTGGCGCTGGTTGCTCTCCCCATAAAATTACAAATCGCATCAGCTGAGCCTTTCGTCTTTCAACCCACTGCTCCCATCACATGGGACCATATCCAACGGTGGCGTCAACAATCGTGCTGCTGATTTTTGTATTTACTGTCGGTTTGGCGCTTTATGATGTGGAAATAGCCGAGTACACGCTAGGCATGTATGCCAACTTCGCTAGCCTCATCGTATGCAGAGCGCCAGCTAACAACAACCATATACACATGCGATGAACTGCGACGTCGACGATTACGGCAGCAGCGGCATCGAAAACGAGCCTTTGAATGCTCGGAGTTCGCAGCATCTTCTGAACGAATTTCAGTCGAGTTTAAGCAGCCGAACGCGGCGGATGGTAAAACGGAAAACGGAAACGAACTAAAAAACGGGCGAGTAATTGAATGAAACTAATGGTAGTAAATATTTAGTATGACAAAAAGGATTCAAGTTAATATATGAAAACAACAACAACGAGAAGGTGAATGCCTGAGGGTAGGATTGCTAATAGGTGAGCATTCATGCGTACGGGTTTGAGTTGGTATTTGTGTGCGTTCATATAAAACGGAAATGCTTTCGGCGCCATCTTGAATTTCCTTTTGTGCGTTAGTTAAATTTAAAAAAAGTGTGTATTAGAAAGTGAATAGCGGGGAAAAAGAGACTATAACGGTGTCTACCACAAAAGTGAGTTTAATTTGAGATTATACCGATATGAATAAATACGTATGTATGTATGAAAATAATGTAATGTTAATAAATGTATATATGTAAGTACATATGTATGTATTTGTAAATGTAGAAATGCATGCATGTATGTATGTATATAATATGCATATGTGTTTTAATAAGAAATATTTTCGAATTGTGCGATTGTTTTTCGCATTTGTAGTATGTTTTTATAAATAAATTAATACAAGTGATAATATTTAACTGTGGCTACATGACATTTGCTGATATGCCCGAGTGACGAGCTACATACATAGCTAACAAATAGGCAGACGCATCGACGGAGAGATATTTAGACGGACAACAATTCGGCTGATGGAGGAATGTTTATGCGTATTGCTTTCATTGTGGGCATCTTGTTAGCTTACACACGTATGTATGTACATTTGTACATGTACATAAATCTGTGTGCGTGTATATATGTACTATACATACATATACATATACATATCTACAAGTTTTGGGTGAATATGCGGCGACTGAAGTCAACAGCTTATCAGTGGAACCGTTGTCATTGCTGCTGCTGCCGATATGTTGACTTTGTACCGCTCCCTATGCTGATATTGTTCTTAAAATTCTTGTTTTCATTTGGGTTACTGCAAATGCAGCCGCGAAGTGATTCTAAAAATATACGAAAAGTTACACGCGGCCGGCAGCAGAACTATCTAAACATTGTGTTTCCCATTTTTTATATATCTATGTACACCTCGACTTTTCACTTATTTCATTTGCATTTTTCGTTTTTGTTGCATTGTTCTGAATTGAGCATATTGTTTTTTTTTGTACATGCCGCTTGCTGCAATGTTTGTGCATTAATTTTGTTCCTTTGTTTATATGTAAATATTTAATTTTGTAGTGAAAAATGTGTGAGAAGAGGCATACAAAATGAAGGATTTATTATCAAAGAAAAAAACCCAAAACAAAATCAGCTTATAGTTATTTGTTAAAAAGGAAGTGCATTCATTTCCACTCGTTTGAAATCACAAGTCAATGAAAAATATGCGGTAATTTACATATATTGTCGTTAGTAGATCATTAAAATTGATGCAACTGCTGACAAGTTCCACATTGTGGGACTTCTCGAAATTTTTAATAAATAATTAGCATAGTCAAACGTTCCCGACGTATTTTTTCATTTTGCACTTTGTTGTTTCAGTTGCGCCTTTCTCTTTGTAATGAGTAAAAGCAACAAAACAATACGATTCGTTTAGTTTATTTTTGAACTCTGCATACCCGTAGTTGCGTATGTAACGTATACGCCCCGTAGCACCATACACAGTCATCTAACACGTTTTCTAGCACGCCTTAACTTAAACCTCATATTATTTAAGAGTAATAAAATATCGGTGTGGGAATTTTTAACACAGTATTCCTTATGCACATATATATTACTTTCTTCATGTATATAATAATTTTAGAATGAATTTCGAGTTTGCCAATAAAAATTATAAAAAGCGAATTTTAGTTTCTCAAATCATAGCCATCTTTTACTCAATGTCATTTTTAATCGACTTCGAAAAAAGGAGGAGGTTATCAATTCGTCGGAATATTATTTTTTTTTTATGTATGTTACCGCATAATTTTGAACCACGTTAACCGATTTCTATAATAATTTTTTTAAAGGAAAAGTCTCAAGTAGCACACTGGTGTATAACTTGGCGTACATTTACGAATTTTGGTATAAATTTGATTAATTGTACCAAAACTCACAAATTTCCACCAAGTTATATACCAGTGTGCTGATTGAGGTCCCATTCTAATTTGGTTTAGATCCAACCATCATCATTAACAAATTACCGATACTATAAAATTTTTTATGGGAATTGGCAACATTTTTCCGCTTAAAAATTACTCGTTTGGCGACACACTAGTTTTGTTGCACTAGATTCGTTCATTTTAACATTTTGAAGTATTTAATAGCCTATTTCCACCAGAAGCCTACCTGCAGTTAAGAGGCCAGGTAAGTTGCAAAAATTTTCACATGGGAGTGATCGGCTGGGTTTATGTTTATTTCTTACTTTTTGCCTTTTTACTTTAGTTTACTTGCACCTTAAATGAGCAATTACCCCTTCATGTTGTAATCTCTATTTCTCAATAGTCATAAACTGCAGTTAAGGCTTGGTGGAAATGAACTATAAAGTAAAAAAATTGTAAAATATCAAAAATTACAGAAAATTTTGACCAGCGTTGGCGCTTTGGTAATTTGTAACCTAAATTTATAATTTTTTTCTTTCTAATTCGATTATCAATTTGGTAAATTTTTCGACTCGGTCCAACATGTTTGTTCAGTGGAGTAGATTCTCCTTTTGCATAGGTCAATAGAGGTTCGTTCTGATTTCACATTAGGAAGTGGCCCGTAATAGTATTCATAGGAAAGAGCATTTCATTTCGGTTTAAACTTAAGAGCACCTATGTGCCTTTCCTCATATAGAAGGACCAGGTAATCCTGGGAGCTTGTCCAGCGTTCATTGGCTTCTAGAATGGTGTGATCTCTATAAAACTGTTTAAAAGTGGCTATTGCTATTCCCGTTCCCCGAAAGTCTGTGGGTGCTCGTAGCTTTCCTTGTCAATTCGTAAATCTCTCAAACTTTAAATTTTGGCGATTATGCATAGTTTCGCAGGTATATGATCAAAATCGCTATATTTGTTGGGTATTTTTCAAAATAAAATGTATTTTAATAAGAGTTAATGTAAACCCGATTCGAAGCGATAGCCGGCAGTTGTAATTCCAAAACTAGATAAAACACACCTCTTTTTTGTAAACAGTACAAGTTTTGACACTTTTCCAATTTCTTTTTTCAAACCAAAATGCCTGCCAAGCAACCGAGCTGATATAGACGTTTGTAGCCCAGTTAATCATTTACGTCTTAAGAAAGTATAGATTACTTCTGCAGCAGCGACGTATATTGTATATCAAAAGCACATTTAAGTGAGATACAAATTTTAACAATAAAAGCAATGTTATAGCGAACTTTGATTGCAAATAAAAAATAGATTTGATCTTAACCGTGAAATTTTAAAAAGCTTGCATGTGTTGATCCATTGTCATATAAAGAAAGAGCTGATTCGACATTTCTAACAGTTTTAAAGCATTTCGTAACTTATACAAAGAAAGCGACAGTGGGAGATTTTAATGCAATGGCATTTTCTGAAATAATTGCTCATATTCGAGTCTTTTTTGAGTCCTGTGCGCGATTAAAATATTCATAAATGCGCTCATATTCTGATCATAAAAGACTCTTTTGTCGGTAGAAAATGTAAGTTTCCATTTATTTACCTATGTTTCAAGCAGGGATGTTGCGAATATTTGCATTCGCATTCCTTATACGAATAATTCGCAACATTTTACACATTCGCATTCGACGTTCACATTCGCATCGAATGATACGAATGTTTTGCGAATGCGAATATGTACATGAACAGAGAGTCCAGTCTAATATTGTTGAAATGACTCTAAGGGCCGGTTGCTCAAAGCCTGGTTGACAATAATCATCGGTTAACATCGTTATCGACGTTTTCGACTCCATGCATATAACACGGTGTCGGTAAAGTCGATAACGATGTTTAACCGGGGATTAGTATCCACCAGGCTTTGAGCAACCGGTCCTAAGTCTGTCTAACCAGGCTGCGGACAATAAACGGCTTTTAGCTTCAGGCGCTAAACGGTTAAGTAGTACATCAAGCAACATTGATAGAAATCATTTCAGAATCAGGAGACATTAAAAAATGTCAAACTAAAGCCCAATTGAAGGTTTGTCTTAAAGACAAATAAGCTCATCTCGGTGAAAATCCCCTCGATTGGTGGAAAACTAAACTACAATAAGCCAAATTGACAGATCTGACCCGCAAATATTTGAGCGTTCCACCCACCAGCTTTCCAAGTGAGCAATTGTTCAGTGCAGCCAGCCTAATATACGAGCCTTTAGGAAATCGCCTCATGTGAGAAAAGGCAGCAAAATTACTTTCTTTTGAAATATAATGTGCCCCTTTTGAACTTTATCTACTAGATTAAAACACTGTGAGGTTAAACCCTCGTTAAATGTTCTAATAATTTACAAAATCTTTTAGTAATAAAAACTATGACTTAAGTTGATTATAGCTTTTTTAAATGTTATTCCTAACATTCGCATTCTCAATCGCATTCGTACATTCGCATTCCGAAAATTCGCATTCGCGAATATGGAAAATATGACATTCGAAACATCCCTAGTTTCAAGGTTCAAAGAATAACGTGAAATCTAATCTAATTTTATGCCACAACTTTTTTCTCAAATGTATAAAATCAAAAAATCTTGAGATAAGCATGGGCCGAAAATACGCTTTTTTAGAATTTTTATTGGTAATAGCAATATGGTTCATAGTGCTCTAAAAAGAATCTGTGGGAAAGATGACAATTTTTGGTCAACATGTTAAGCTCACCCAAGTCCATCAAAGTTCAAGTGCATAAAAAAAATTCTTACCTTTTTTCGATTCTATACAAAAAAGGTCCATATACCAAATTATGTACGACTAATACTTACGAAAATACTTGCAATTTTAGTAAAAAAATGTATTAATTAATTGTAATTATTAATTTTTATTTTTTGAGCACATTGAGGATATAGACCATAAATTGTCATCTTTCCAACAGATTGTTTTTAGAGTATTATCAACCATATTTTTGTTGTTACCAATCAAAATTCTAAAAAAGCGGATTTTCGGCCCACGCTAATGCCCATATATCACATAAATATATACATACACTAGCAATTACCCGGCGTGCTTCGCTGCGCCATAAATGTTTTTTTGTGTTGTAACCCTCTCCCAAAACTCGTATGACCTCATTTATACAATATATTTAAAGAGCTTTATGAAGTAAGATTTAAAAAAAACCCACCAAACAATTTCTGTTGCCGGCAATAAGAAAACGTGTCGCCCTCGGAAACAAATTTATTGCCGGTAATATTGCCATCGAATCG